TTACGCCACTATCTTACGAGTCGAAATACATCAAAACAAACGAAATTTTCTACTGATATAGTTTATAGGAAAGTTAAATTTGAGTAGTTATTTAATATGATGTTTTAATCGGTTCTATTTACTTGATTATTTGCAACATCTTTTGCTTGTTTCAGAGCAGTAAAACATGCAAATAATCTCATATAAAGTATATAAGCACGTTCTTCATCATTAGTTGCTTCTGCTTTTTTTGCTTCCGCCCATGTTGCGTCAATAATATGAGTTATCTGTGAACAAGTTGATAATTTAGCTTTTTGAAGTGATGGATTATCTTCTGCGCGTTTATTTAATTCTTCTAAATCATTTGCTATGTACAACGGAATTTTATCTTTTGGTGTTGTCATTGAAATATTACATTTAAATAAAACAAACAAAAAAAAAAGATATCTAGAACAAAAACAAAAACATGTTTTATTTTATTTATTCTTTTATGAATCCATTTTATCGGAATCTTCCATCGTCATATCAGCTAGCATTTCATTAAGATCTATACGCGGTATATCCTCCCCTCCCTCTTCATCACCGATATTGTTCGATTGAAATTTCTTCTCATCTAAATATAGAAAAAATACTTTTATAATAAAGAATAATTGATTTATTTTCTTTACCTTTGTAAACATTGACAGTTTGTCGTAAAACAGCATCTTCTTCAAGATCTTCGAGAAAATCAGTATAATCTCTAGAAAAAAACAACGAATTAAAGTTTATAAAAAATAAATATTGAGAAAATAAATGTAACAAACCGTTCCATTGTACTGTTGACACTGCCAACATCTTCGACATCTAAATGTTTCAATTTCCATTGACGTCGTCGATTACGTAAACTTTTATCCGCATAAATCTTCTTAACAAGGATCTATAAAATATCATCGTTTATATGAAACAACAAGAAAATAGTCAAAAGAAAAAACAAACTAACCACATCAGCTAGTTGATCAAGATCATATTGATCTAAACTTGGATCGCTAACATTACTGTTCTGTAAATCAAATCTAATTTTAAAGTAAATAAATTTAAAACAAAATATGTTTATTAGAAAATTATTTTCATACCCCATTACTGTATCTCCTGGATGTAATAAATGACCAAGATGACTGATTGTTGAATATTGTTTATCAACGACACCAATTTCCGATGATTTCATTACGAATACTTCAGCAAGAACATGCTGTAAAAACAATTATTAGCTAGTTATATATATATATATTTAAATTGCAAACCTTTTGTGATTCTTTTCCATAAACATGAGGTTTTGAATGTTCATCCAATACATTGACATCACAGACAATATATTCTACAAGATGTTTTGAATCACATAAAGCAGTAAATGGTGATCGCCAATAATCATTTGCTGAGATTGGTGCAACTAAAAATAAAATTATAAATAAATAAAAAATCATTACACTATCTCTTTTCTTACCTTTAAGTGTTTTTGGATCGATTAAATAAACATTTTGTGTAACACGTGAGCAGATACACATTGGACCAATATTACCTAATTGTTTCGATTGTTTTTTCGATAAACAAACAATATCATCCTAATAGAATATAGAATATACCTTTTCAATATTCATTATTCTCTTACTTTGCAAACAGGTACGATTTCAACAATATATGTATATTTATAATTATAAATATTACTGTGTATATCATGTGAAATCAAACGTTTCGATGTTTCAAATCTTAAAATAATTATTTTATTTGAAAAATAAAAAGCAACATCTAAAATTTTCAATTAATCTACCTGCATGGTACAACACACATAAGAAAATCAGCTAATTTTCTTGCACTGTTTTGTTCAGCAAAATAAAAATCTAAGCCACCATTAACTTGTTTTATATTTGATGCATCAGCATGTGCATTATGTTTAAGTAATAATTGTTCAAGATAAAAAAATGTTTTTTTATGTGAAGTCTAAACGGAATAAAAAATATATTTTTATTAATTTAGGATTTTGAAGTTTCAAAACATACTCTTTGTCGAACTTGAACAAGTGCTTTCCAATAATCTTTAGCTTCAATTTTTTGACAATCATCACATATTTGATTAAATATTGTAAATTCAACAACAAATGTTTGTTGAAGTATAGCACCTGTAGCAACTTCTTTTTGAACAGTTAATTTAACTTTAACACGTTTTGAATGAGGTTCAGTCCAAATAAAACCAGCATCGATTAATCTTACCTGAATATAGTTTTTATAGATTATACATTACACAAAAAAAATCTTATTTACTTCTTTATTTAATCCTTTAATACGTTTTAAACAAACAGTTAATAATTCTCGTGATTCTAATTGTGCAGCAATCCATGTAGTCGGCGGTTGAAGATAACTTTGAAAATGAAATAATATAATGAAAAATAAAAGTCTAAATTTTAATATACCGAATACATTTGTTACACATTTGTAATTGACCTTGTTTAGGAATCATTTCTGTTATATCGATTTGTGTTTGCATGCATCCATTACACATATTGAGTGCATTTGATTCAATTAAAACTCCACATTGACAACATAAACTAGATTAAATTAAAAGAAAAATTAAAAATTAGAATTTTAGATGAAATAGTACACATACATTTTTGCTACTGTAGTCGTTGGTTCAACATCATTAGTCATGTACTCCATGATATAAGATTTGTTAACAGAAAATAAGTATTAAATCTAAAAAAATAGTCGTTTATAAAAGAATACCAGTGAAATAACAAATGAGTCAGACTGAATACTCTCGAAACAAACAATGATGATGTTTTACCGTAGATGATGTATTGGATAGATAAAAATCCAATATTTTACGATTGAAAATTGTATTCGTCGTGTGAGAGGTTATCTTAATATACTATCGACGAATAATGATTGTAGCGCTACAATCAACGACTCATTTCTTTATACAGTTTCTTTTTTCTCTATTCGTAGGATTTAATTCTTTGATATAAAAAAAAAA